CCACATACACAGCCCCAACCCCAGCCAACCCCATGCGCACTCCAGACCAACCCTGACCGGTGTGAACCAGCTCCAGACTAGCCAGAACGTACATATACAGCCCTAACCCCAGCCTACCCTTTGCCTTCTCCAGACTAGCCCACCCACAATGAGCAGTAGTGCCCAAGCAGAAGCTGCTGCTGGGCACAGGGGAAAAGCAGCCACTTCCCTGTGCTGCTGCCGGGCCCTTCTTGCTACAACCACCCAGAGCCTGTGCCCAGGCTGCCCTGAGGCTCCTCCCCACTGCCATCACCACTGCCACCAACGTTGCCTCCGGGCTGCCCAGCAGTGGAGGGGAGCCACCGGGCAGCCCGAGCATGGGGTTTAGGTGGCCACAACAAGAAAGCACAAGGGGGGACGCCCACTTATCCCCTGGGCCCAGCAGCAGCTTCTGCTTGGGCGCTGCCACTCATTGAGAGCACAGCCCAGCAGTGAGCAGCTGGGGCTAGTCTACTGGAGTGCAGCCTGGTCCAGCCTACCCCGCACAGATCTGCGGGCACATGCCTGCTCCCATGCCCTCTCGGACCAGTGGCAAGAGCTGCCATAGGAGCCACCAAAAGAGCAGCTCCTGGACCGGCGGCATGCAGCAGCACACAGTGGCAGAAGCCCCCCTTCCCAAGTCCCATGCTCCCCACCTTGGCTGGGCAGCTTGTTCCAGCCCCAATCCCTCCCTCGCTGTGGGGGCATTTGTCTGCCCCTCCCACGCCCCTTCCCTTCCCTCCCCACTCCACCCACCACAACAGACTTACCAGTGGGAGGCAGCTGTGCCCAGTGTCGTCGAGGACTGCTGCCTGTATAACCTATGGCTGAATCTCTGACTCTCTTTGAATCAATTCAGAGGCTTCCGAATCGATTCAGACCTTTTAACAGGTCTCCCGACTCGATTCAGATTCAGAGTTTCGGCCACCGAATTGGGCCATATCTCCCCCAAATGAAACCAGCTACTGAAGCTTCACACAGCTGAGAGAGGGGTCAACAGAGGGATTCTGGTTGAACTGTTTGGGGTCCTATTTGGTGATGTTTGCCAGACATTTAAGGCTGGTGAAGAAACAGGAATCATTGGAAATGGGAAAGAAAGGTGCACAGCCCAGCTGTGGGAATGAAGAGGAGGTTGAAACATATTCAAAGTAATGGCTCATCATGACTTGAAAAAGTCAGGCTATACTTAATGGGCGCTAGCATATGTCTTATTCAAATGGGGTGGACCATGGAGCAGCCCTGGTTCTACAGGGTCCTGAATGAGTTCCGGAGTGAGTATGGGTTACAGAAGGAAAGCCTGGTAACTATGTCCACCCACAAAAAGATACAGCGGGCAGTCGGAGACAGAGGCAGGTTATCAACCATGGAGACAGTCCCTGATGAGGACTGCCAAGCTATCTGGAACCTGATCTTCCTCAAGGACCTCTGCAAGGACAACAGGGACTTGAGCTGATTGATAGCGAACTGAGTACTCCCAGTGAGGGCATGGAGGTACAGGGAGGCATAAGGGATTTGAACCGATTGCCCGAGGGAAATTTGCCAAGAAGAAGCAGAGACCATTGACCACCTCTTATGGCACTGCCCATATGCCAAGAGTGTGTGGGAAAGCATATGACGGCTCCTTGAAAGAGTGACAGAAGTCAGGCTGATGACAAGGGAGGAGACGATGTACAGACACCTTACTGAGCAGCAGGGGTCCCATACAATGCATTTCAACCAGTTTGTATCCTGTATCAGGAGTGCCCTATGGCAATGCAGGAACCTTGTGTTAATACAGGCACGCCTAACTCAAGGAAACAAACTGTTAAAATCTTTCTGAGCGAACTTCAGTCCTACCACCAGAAAGTGGTGAGTGAGAATGGAGAAGGCATAGCCAACTTCATTTGGAAAAGCAACACCTGGTGCAGATTGTTCCAAGACCCCCCAGGAGGGGAAATGTACAGACAGAATGAAGACAGAGATGCAACTGAACCTGGAGGTGGCGAGAAGGATTACAACAGGATCAGCAGCAGCGGAAATGACAGCAACATCAACAGTGATAAGGGCAGTGAATGAACTGAGAATGTAAACCCCAAATCGGAGTTTGGATTAAAGGACTGTGATTTGGGTGGGTGAGGGTAGAGGGTGTGTGCACAGAGGCTTAGGGGAGTGGGTGTGTTTATTGTAACGAGAAGAGTGGGTTTTTTAATGCAGTTTTAGGATGTGTGATGAAAAGCTTATGATAGAGGATGTATATATATAACTCTCTAGATATAAAAATATATTTTAATTTTAAAAAAAAGGAAGGCACTGGTCTGATACCTGAGTCAAAAATGCAATTAAAATGGTACTGTGTAGTGGAGGGTGCACCCCTGTCAGCTTGTGAACAAGACTCCCTATGAGAGCTTCATAGTTAGCTTCCCACTGGCTGGCTTCCAGTGGGAGGATCTTGACTACACACTGACTTTATGGAAATGGGAGACTCCTCCTTAGCTTGCTCCTGCAGTGATATGACTGAGGGCAAGCAAAACCCCAGGGCATCCAAACCCCAAGCCTCCAGGCTTGGGCTTGCACATAGGATGCCTGCCAGAGGATTTGGAAGTATCTGAAGCCCCAGGCTGCTGGGGTGGAGGATGCTTGCTGGTAGCAGGGCCACATATGGTTGATTCAAACAGATTTGGCTAATTTGACCTGGAACACAAAAAATCCCTCCCTTCCCCCCCCCCCCCCCCCAAAAAAAAAAGAAAAGAAAAGAAAAGAGGAAGGTTCCCATTATCATCTCAGCCTTTTTGGCTAAAATAAAATGTACCATATTTTTGGCACCAAGGGGAGAGGGTCAGGGCTGGTTCTGGCTCTCCCAGTGGCCTGGTGCCAGTTTCCTGTAGAGGGAACACCTGCCCATTTTTTTAAGGGTCACACGCATACAAAAAATGGGTCCTGTCAGTACATTTATTTTGTGTGTCTATGTGTTTTATAGTCACGCTCAGTGTTGGCTGCATTTAATCAGCTTCTTAGTAACTGTTACTGTTTCTGTTACTGAGCACATGCTGCTTTTGGCAGCAGTTTTATGATAGACAATGTATTTAATGATTTTACTTGCATGTGATTATAAGACAAGGTGGAGGGGGGTTCCCCCATGCTGATTGGGAGCGGGGAAGCCTTGTTTTGTATTTCAGTAAATATGGTGTTTAAAAGTTATTAACAGAAACCTTTTTTAATTAGGTTTTTGACGATGTGCAAACTTTAAAATTAATTTTTAGGCTGGCAGATTACAAGTTACTTTTATATAAATAAAACTGGATTATTAGACAGAAGATAAAATTCTAACATTTTTATCATTCTAACATTTTTATCATTTATCATTTTTTCATTTCCTTTAATTTTAGCTTGATCAGAGAAAATAAGCTTGTCAGTTCCACTTTTGTTTCTTTTAGATTTAATTCTCTGGTTCTCTTGCTGCTACAGTGCTGCAGCATTTGAACTGTAAATATTGCAAAGGAGTGGGATTTTTAAAAAGTTTTTATTAGAATGTATTTAATATTACACAAACAATGCCGTTGATCTTGTAAGCTAGTTTTATCTCAAATTTTTCTTTCTTTGTTTTTCTTTAAGTAACAGGTATCAGAACAAGTTATCTTCTTATGTTTATTTTGTACAGCTCTGTAAACTAAATCTTCCTTCTAAGGAGGGACCTTTATATGCTAACGTTCTGACTGAAATAAGGTCATATTTAAGTTCAATAGCTCTGTTACATAATTAGTTCGAATCTTTGTAGTTTTCATTTGCTTGTATTACTGTGGTATTCTCTGTGCAGCTGTTCTTAGATGTAAGAAACAGCATGGGTAAAGTTGCAAACAGCACTGTAAAGATTTTTCATAGTTTCATAGTTTCTAGGGTCAGAAGGGACCTGAGCAGATCATCTAGTCCGACCCCCTGCCATGACAGGAAGAGCACTGGGGTCAAACGACCCCAGTAAGGTGGTCATCCAACCTCCTCTTAAAAACCCCCAGGGTGGGAGCCTGCACCACCTCACTTGGAAGCTGGTTCCAGACCCTAGCCGCCCTGACCGTGAAGTAGCGCCTCCTGATGTCCAACTTAAACCTTCCCTCCGCCAGCTTGTGACCATTGTTCCTGGTCACTCCTTGCGGCGCTCGGGGGAACAGGGACTCCCCCAGCGCCTGCTGATCCCCCCTAACCAGTTTATAACAGGCCACAAGATCCCCCCTCAGCCTTCTCTTTTGAAGGCTGAACAGGTTCAGGTCCCGCAACCTTTCCTCATAGGACCTACCCTGCTGTCCCTTGATCATATGAGTGGCCCTCCTCTGGACCCTCTCGATGCTGTCCACATCCCTCTTAAAGTGCGGCGCCCAGAACTGGACGCAGTACTCCAGCTGCGGCCTGACCAGTGCCGCATAGAGGGGGAGGATCACCTCCTTGGACCTGCTCGAGATGCATCTGTGGATGCACGACAAGGTGCAGTTGGCCTTCCTAGCCGCCTCCCCACATTGCCGACTCATGTTCATCTTGGAGTCAATAATGACTCCCAGATCCTTTTCCACCTCCGTGCTGACAAGAGGGGAGTTCCCCAGCCTGTATGTATGGTGCCGATTGTTCCTCCCCAGGTGCATCACCTTACACTTGTCTGTGTTAAACCCCATCCTGTTCTCCTCCGCCCATCCTTGTAACCTATCTAGGTCCAACTGTAGCCTGTTGCTCCCCTCTATTGTGCCCACATCCCCCCACATCTTCACATTTTAATGATGGTTGTGCTATAAGCACCTGAAAATTGCTGTGGGTAATAGAAATGTCAGTAAACACCTTATTACAGGCATGCAAACAGTGCATTGAATTTGGCAATAAAACAATATGTGACAGTCATGCTATATATAGAGTTTTACAAATAACATTTCTTGGAATGGAATAAGATTTATTTTAGTTTTAAATGCACAGAATAAAACTTACTTATCAACTAATTGGAACTGATATTGAACATTACTTTCTAGGTCTGTAGATTAGGAGGAATCAAGCACCTTGTTGACCTTCTGGATCACAGGGTCCTCGAAGTTCAGAAAAATGCTTGTGGCGCACTGCGAAACCTTGTTTATGGAAAATCTACTGATGAAAATAAAATAGCGATGAAGAATGTTGGTGGGATACCTGCCCTTTTGCGATTGTTAAGAAAATCTATTGATGCAGAAATAAAAGAGCTTGTAACAGGTAAGTCTTGGATAGATAGCATGTGATGAATTAAGGTATATTTCTCTGTAGTGAGTGACACCTTCATAAGAAGTTTTGTAGCCAAGAATGAATGCTAATATTGCATGTTCATTAGAATTTTATTTGTACATTAGTACTTAGGCTATTGTATAACTAACTAATTTGTTTTTTTGTCAGTTGACCCTTAAAATTATTTTATATATTGTAGATAAATTTAGAGAACCATATTCATATAGTATAGAATCACAGAAATAAAAGGTATCTCAAGGGTCACCTAATTGAGTTCCCCACATAGATGCAGGATTTTCTAGGAACCCCATTTAAATGCTATCCAGCCATCTACCACTTCCCTTCCAGAGAGCTTCTTTCATTGTCCTGCTATTTTAATTGGTAGGAAGTTTTTTTTCTGAGATTTACTCTAAATCTGCTTTGCTGAAGTTTAAGCCCACTATGAAATCCCTTTTCTCTGGCAAGGGAGAACAATGTTTCTCCATCTTCTTTATGGCAATCTTTCAAAAATCTGAAAACTGCTATCATGTACCGTCTTAATCCCTGTAACTGCACGTACTTCTGGTATGGGGGATTACTTCAACCCACTCATATAGTCCTCCTGCACACTGTGCTTGACTCCTGTGTAAGGGCTGTTGATGTGTATTAAGCCCTACCTGTGGTATCATCATACTATTTTAGGATTCTGCTAATATGCGTCTTTAAATTTAAAACTTGCAGTATTTCCTAAACTGAGTCAACAGCAAGCACATATTTTAGAGGTATGGCTCTCTGTTTAGTATAGTGTGTTGAAACCTCTAATTATTTAGTGCTTTTAGTTCTGAGGTCCTTTTTTGTAAGTGACAGAAATTTATACATTATACTTAAAGATAACCTTATAGAACTAAATACATGTTTTAATAGGTATGTTGAAATCCAGGAAATATCACTCCTCTTTATGTTGCACTTTGCCCATTAACACAAATGTGATCATCAGTGGCTGACTTGCATATGTAATAATGCAATATAATCAGTTTCTTGTCACTGAAGACATTATTACAAGCCACTTAATGTCAGCAACTTAAGTCAGGGGTGTCAAATATACAGTCCCATCACCTGGCCCCTGCTAATGCCCCTGGGTCTGAGCAGACCTACACTGGGCACAGCACACACCAGACCATCCCTATGGACTGGACCCAAGACAGTATCACATGGGCAGGCATGTGGCACGGATCCTGGAACAGCTGGAACAAGCACTGCCTGGGGTGTGGTCTGGCCAGAGGTGTAGAGTTCAGATCCCAGACCAGCCAGAATGCGTGCCATGGTACATGCAGTGCCTGCTGCAGCTGGACTGTGCCACACGTAGCACTAGTTCCAAGACACATGCTGCACATATACCTACCCCAGCAGTTCCAGGATGGCGCTGCATGGGGTGCCTGCTCCAGCCAATCCAGGACTTGTGCTACATGCATCACTACATGTAGCACGGGTCCTAGAGCAGGCACCAGGTGCAGCATGGTTTCCAGAGCAAGCACTGAATGTGCAACAGTCTGGCCAGATCAGGCATCTCATGTAGTGTGGCATCCACTCCTCCCAGTGTGGGATCCACACTACATACCCCTGGCCAGACTGTGGCAAACATAACTCCTCTTCCAACTGGTCCAGTATCCACACAGCACAGGTCCCAGGCTGGCTGTAGCAGGCACCAGATCCAGTATGCTGGGAGTGGGAAGGGACAGTGTCTACAGGCCTGATTTGGCCCAGGAACCAGTCCCACACCTCTCACTGGATGAGTTGGACATTCATAAGTAAAGTGATCTCAATTATGTAAATTTACAACTTAATGTCATAGTTACTGAATGATGTTCTAAGATTAAATTATCAGACAGTTAATGGCAAAATAACTTGCTTCATTGAAGAAGTAAAAGTAAACAGCATAAAACTGTATTTTTACTGTAACTGCAAGATTGGCTTATCAGATACTTGCTCAGCCTCTAGGAATTTAAGGTACCAGCAAAATCTGAGTGCAGCGTGCCTAAAGCTTTAGTGTTGCGTGTACGTGCTGGGCGTGTGTTCTTAATATGTAGTGTAACTTTACAGTGTATTTGTGAAATGCTTGAAAACAAACAAAAACATTAGAGTTACAGAGTGGGTGAAGCTCAGGGATGAAGCTACTATGGGGGAGGGGGACACAAGTGATGCTGAAGCCTCTCCTCAATTATTTAGAATAACAGTGCTCATCCTTTTTTTTGTGTACAAATAGGCCAAACCTTAAAATTAAAAATGGTCCAGTAAAGGACACACCCTTTTCAACTGTACAGTAAGCTTTGAGCTCAACAATATGCCAATACAGGCTTTACCTGGAGCCACCACTTTCACATGATTCTGAAACCTAGTGTGTGAATGTAGCCATCAGTTGCCCTCCCCCTCACCCCTGTTCAATTCAGGGGCAGGGGAAAAGTGGGTACAAGTGACATTGGCATTCATCCCTTTGGCTCAGGAACTGCACGGATGCAATGGTGGCTCCAGCCAAAGCCCACGCTGGCATACTAGTGGGCTCATGCCCTTGACAGACCAGTCACATGGGTTGTGCAGGCTGCATCTGGCCCATAGAAGGTAAATTGAGCAATACTGACTTTGAATATAATTTTTTAGCATAATTTAACTGTTATGGTATTTCATGTTATATTTTTAATAATAAATAAGGCTACTGACATGTGAAAAAAATGTGCTTTACTGGAAGAGTTAGCCCATGAATTCAGACACTGCAGAGCTGGGTTGTATAGATTGGGCATTTTAGCAGGGCATTTTTGGCGCTTTTATCTAATAGCTAATTCAATCAGCTATTGGATAAAAGCGCCAAAAAAGGCCTGCTGAAGCACCCAATCTATATAGATGTTAGGTGAGCCGGGTCAAATTAATTCAGTGCCTCTTCTAGGCATGCACTGGGCTCAGCGTGGGGGCACACTGAGTTTAAAGTAAAGCACCATGGGGAGGGGGCGTTACATCTGTAAGCAGCCTAAATGTCAAAGGTGGACACGTAAGTAAGCTCACAAACAGACTCGGGTATAAACTCTAGCCCCACCAAACTTAGTCATGGTACCACCTTTTGTGAAGTAATGAGAATGCAAGTGCATTTGGTGGACGTCTGAGGCAAAATACACATTCAAAAAGAAAATAATCTCATTGGTTGCTATAATCCTTCCAAACGCTTCTTCACCATGCACTGCCACCTGGTATGCAACCCTGATATTGTAAACTGTGCTTAGTATCTTAGTATTTTGTCCATCCTGTGTATGTGACGTTATCAGGGCTTGACTGTATTTTAAAGTAAGCAAAGACATGCTATTATGGGAAGAGTCGTGTTGTTATAGACATTGGCTTTTCTGAGTAAATACAATTTGAAAATACTAAGCAACTCTGTGTTAAAATGTTGTAACATGTGACACTCACAGAATTAGCATTCACAGTGTGTGAAATAAATATAAAACATTCAGTAGTACTATGCAAAAGGTGGTTCAAATGTTACTTTAACCAACAATTAGAGTAAATTATTTAACTGTTTGAATACAGTATTTGTATGATTTGTAGCTCCATGTTCCTAAGCTAGCAATTTCCACAGATGTTTCAACTTTTGCCAAATACAACTAAAAGCTTGTTGTTTAGCATTTATGAATATATCATGAGATAAAAACAAGTATCAGTTGTTATGAGATAGCTACACATGGAAATGTAAGATCTCTTGCTTCTAATTTTAAAAATAGTTTTAACTGCTATTGTCTGAGAGAACACATTGGCCTAAATTGTTGCTTGATTTATAAACAGAGAAATAGTTAATTTCTCCCAAGTCTAAATGTATGTTTTATTTCTTCTTCATTTTTTAAGTTTTACTGGCCAATTTGCATAACCACACTGTTGTTCAAATCAGTTACAATTTGGACAGTGTGTGTTTTGCAGTACCCAGTGCTGTCAAGATAAAATAATATACTTGGAAATAGTACATAATGTTACAGTTGCCATTTAGTGAAGTGATTTTTAAAATTTTAGGTTCCTGCAAATATCTTTTTCATTGTACAGAATAAAGGGATATTAAGTACATGTAGTTGCACATTTACTAAACCAGTGTCTTGCAGTTGCAACAGGAGCTCTTTTGTCAATGCAGTTTATCTTAGTCCACTTTGAAATGCATGCCATTAAACTGCAAAAAGTCACACAGTGCAGAATTAGAGACTCCACCCAGAGATAGAATACAAAACAGCTTTTACATTATAAATACATATTGTGGTTTATTTTGCAATGTTTCCCTTATGGACCAAAATCCAAATTAAACTGTTCCATTGTCCTCCAACCTTTGGATTACTTTGTGTCAGGATATGGGCATTTCCTCAAAAACATGCAAGTTACTTAAATATTTTTAAACTAAAATTAGAACATGATCTGTCTGATATGGCTTATTGTAAAGATAGAATAAATTATTCTTTTATTTAATAAAATCTGTTAATTCAGGGGTTGTCAGCCGGGGTATGCGTACCCCTGGGAAGGCCCCAGGGGGTACGCAGCAACAACATGGAGAAGCTGCTGGCACTTCTGGTTGCACTTGCCAACCAGGTGCCAGGGACCCTCTGACCCTCCCTTGCTCGTCGACAAGCTGTCAGGGGACTCCCTGCTTCTCTACTGGCTGCTGGGAGTGCACCAACCAAAGAAGGTTGAAAACCTCTATGTTAATTGATTTGAGTTATATTTAGAATGGGTACTTTTACAGAAATGACTTTAAAAAATAAATCAAAATTAATTGAGCCATATAACTGATACACCTTGCACTTGTCAACACTGACAAGTGCAAGGTGCTGCACCTGGGGAGGAAGAACCAGCACCATACCTACAGGCTGGGGAACTCCCTTCTCGTCAGTACAGAGGCAGAAAAGGATAGTTTTATAGTTTCTAGAGTCGGAAGGGACCTGAGTAGATCATCTAGTCCGACCCCCTGCCATGGCAGGAAAGATTACTGGGGT